CTCCTTCGATACCTTCCAATCACATGAAAATTGCCTAATTAAAGCTTGGAAACGTCCCTGTTCGTACTCGTTGATCTGCGCAACAGTCAAAGTCGCCATCTTTGTTTATATGAGACCCATACATGTCGCACATGCGCAGCGCGACGACTACCGCGCTTTAAATTTTGTACAAAGATAGTATACCAAGAGATACATCTGCACCATCATTATTTTTGTGATTCGATTCAATATGGCTGACTGATGCCCAAATTTCATGTAAAAGTGCATAGATACATCAACATGAACATTATTTTTGTAATTTCATTCAATATGACTGCCCAATGTCCAATTCTCGTGTAAAAGCACTAAATCATAATTCACGTACGACAAGATTAGAAGTATCGTGAATCACAACGTGGGGTTGTCGGAATATCATTAAATTCGCAATGGGTTGAAGCAGAGACGGGGTCGGCGATCGATACCAAGGCTGCTGGTCGGTTCTGACATTGGTGTATCGTCGCGGCTTGATGACGCATGGCCATGGCGTCGATTGGTTGGGACATGCCCCATGGGGACTACGAAAACTGTTACAATGGATGAAAGAAGAGTACAGCAATCCAGTCATTTATATCACCGAGAACGGGGTGCCTAAACGCAGTGATACACAAGCAATGTTAAACGACACCTGGCGCTCTATGTATTACTTGTCAAATATCAACAAACACTCAAAGGTAAGCGCCATCTATCGGCACAAATGATTACACAGTACAGCGAAGTGATACAGGTATCTCAATTTTGTCGCAACAATTTTCAATATAATTTATTTTGACTATTGCGGAGTGCCATTGTTGATTTGACAATTATATGTTTATTGGGAGGCATTTAAAATTCGCCATGAATCCACATTCGGTTTGTTGTTGTTCTCAACTAATCATAAATTAATACGTTCACTCCTACAGAATGGCAAATTTTAGAGTTGTTTTGCGATGTCACCATCCCGGAATATCTGTAACGATACCCCCTGGGCATTGTGGTTATTACAAATTTTTATATCACATTTTGAATCAAAATACATCACCATTTTGGCATTTCACTGGTGCACGCACACATACATACATACTGCCCAGAACGGTTTTTTTCAATAGTAATATTCATCAGCACAAAATGAGACTTAAAAAATATCAATCATAAACTATGAACACATCGCTTTTGAGTGCATTGCTGTGTGGCAACTTTGTGCAATTTACGAATATTTTTCACTGTTGTTGCTTAGAAATTAGACGGCGTCAACGTTGATGGTTATTTTGCGTGGTCGTTGCTTGATAACTTCGAATGGACAGATGGATATGCTGCTCGATTTGGTCTGCACTTCCTAAACTTTGATGACCCCGGCAGACTGCGACAGCAAAGGGAATCCGCCAAGGTATATGCAGAAATAACACACAACAACGGATTTCCGGTAGAGAACTGAAATGTTGTACGGACATGCCAACAGTGAGAATACTCGTCACAAGTGCAGTCATGAAAATAATACTACTATAATATCCAATGCTTAATGACGCCGCGATTAAATGCTCAAAGACTAGCCAGACACAACTGTGCTATAATGAATTACCGCCATTATTACACACACAATAGTTTCAAGAGATGTACGTTGCGCCCTCAGGCGTTTGAATATCGCAGATTTGTCAGTTCCGTTGCTATTATAAATACTGCTAACATTAGCTGACAATTTAAGGGGATTGGGGACATAGATAACTCTATTACACTTATTCACATCTCGGTGTTTTTACGTCTTAGCATTCACCACCTGTAATAACGTCGCCAATTTTCTGTAATGGTCGTTGACTAGCTATTTAAGCAAAATCATGCAAAATAAATGGTAAACGATAACAAAATGTTAATAATAAAGACCGTAGTTGAATTGCAATGCGTTTAGAATACAGATTTGATGTTATGATAATGAATCGGGATTTTGTAATTCTGTAATTTTCTGATATGAAGCAGTATCATAGTTGTAATAATAAACAAGAGACGCAAATGAAAACGTCACATCCAAGTAGACTTGAAGCTCGATAACCATAATTTCGCCCGGTCAGTAATGCCACCACTGACTCGTTACTATTAATTGCGTAAAATACATCGATGCCCAGTCACCATTGTGTCAACGACTTTGTTGACGTGAAACTGCTGTGGTCTAAATAACCAATTCATCCCATTCTGACGTATAATTGTTCAACATTTGGATTTGTATATGATGTGGTAAAATTTATCTGGTTAACAAATCACCACAGTCTCGGATTTATTTGCACATTTTGGTGTCTACCCGATTTAAAACGCCAACTATGTGCCGCGTTATAGCTGGTATGTGATTCAATTTTAAATTGACTAAGTGTAAAACGTTCATTTTCTTCAGCTCGCCAGTATTAGAAGTTTGTTCTGACAAACCCATGCATAACCCATTCCTCTGGAAAGGATTTAATAGTTCTTGTCCAACAATTTGTATCTACGAAAGTAAAGACTATAGCGCCAAAGTTAAAACTGGGGAGTCGTCACCTGCGCATGCGTCAGATGGCCATAGCGTGTCATTGTTTACAAACAAGCGTCTACCCATGAGCCTTTACGTTTTTAGCGTGTGTTATCGTCGCTTGGGACTCAATTCCCGCGCATGCGCAGGTGACAACCCTCCCGCTTTAATCTCTGACTGCTACAATTCTCGGACAACTAATAATTCAGAACAAAAAAGAAATTGGGTTTTAAAAGTCGGTTTCAGAACTGAAAATGGTTATTAAAAAGGAATTATAAAATTAAAATAAATTGTAAAAATGTAAATGAATTGCCTTGTCGTGAGCGACCTCGGTTGCCGTACTGTTAGCAATGTTTTACTATAATTCTAAAACTTCGATGTCGTGCAACAGACCCGGTATCGCAAGACACCCGCAAGCGTACGGAATATTGACATCGTTTGGCAATTAAAAGCCACAACTGTTCAGCTGAAAAAAGGTTGGGAAAGCCAAATTTTACCACCACCCCGAAATAGAACCCGACGACCTTAAGAAGCTTTACTACAGTCTTAGAAATGGTTGATTTAAATGACATGGATTTTTATGAAGAGTTTGTGTGGCCAGGTCTCCTGTTTGTGGCTCATCGTTTTAACACTACAGGAAAATAGTAGAATGGAGGTAATTAGGCAATAGAAATATGCCACACAACGACTTTCTTAAATGGTATGGCATATTATAAACTTTACCATCAGCGTGACAAAATAAGATGAAACGAAGAAATGGAAAAATTTTCGTACTGTGACAAAATAGCAGCTCATCCGTAAATTATAAAATAAATTGTTTTATTTATAATACATTTTAATTTTAATTTTAATTTACAAAATGTTATGACCAGACAATGTATAGTATTTTTTCTTTATTTTTAACACTGTGACATTTGTTAATCCATACGTGGCAAAGGTCCACATCCCTCCATTGAAGTAATCTGTTTCATCTTACAGTATAACGTTAACGCCAGGTACCAGATATGTATATCCACAATGAGTTGGTGGCTATAACTACGACACATAGCGTGGATTTGCAGAACGTAAACTTGGCTCGTGTCCAGCGATATCGGTCGATGATTTCTGCGATCGACCAATAAGAACAAGGCGTTTCAATAACTGGCAGCGCACGACATTATAATGTGTTATATGAACGCAATAAAACTCCCGATCGGTATCACACATGTGATGACTTATTCATGTAAATGAGCTATGCTTTTATTCTTATTTTTGTTTATATTTAATCGAAATCGCCATTTCAAGTTCGCATACACGGTGAGATGTGCGCAAAAGCACGTCAATATGATGGTATGTACTACCTGACTCTGTGATCTCGCGTAAAACTTACCCGAAGATAGCAATGGTGACGCCATCGCATATTCGCTTTATTGGTAATGTGTTCTATGGTTCAATATTACAACTGGATTTGAATTTCAATATTTTTGTTTGAGTGCATATTTACTTTCCATTGAGTTATGAAATAAATAGTTTGCTATAATTTTGAGCTATTAAAATACGCATGCGTGAATTACTGGTACGCACTATTTTTTCCAAATTCACTCGAATTTGCTTGCATGATTACGTGCAATATTTCTTGAAACTGTATTGTATGTTACAGAAAAAGACTGTAAAACTGTAGAACGTAGTTCTGGCAACTTTACCTTACGCTACACGCAAAGACTCCCAAGTCAGGCGAGCTTAATTGAATGCGACAGGAAATGTGAAATGAGTTGACATACGCCGCTGGGAAATTAAATTAATGATAATTTGTTTTTTCCTAAAACATTACCGCCCTTAGAGAAACTGCCAACGTTACCGTAGATACCACCGTAGATATAAATGACCAACCGGAATGTATTTCAGTGCGATATCTTTCAAAAGCGACATTCATGAATCTCAAGGGAATTGGAATGACGCCAATAAAAATTGAAATAATTATTTATCTTTAAACATTTTACTGCATTTTCGTGAGTTCCTATTGTCGAAACAATTCAGCTAATCGCAAGTGTATTGTAATGGATGACGTTAATATGCAAAAAAGACTTAATCAAATAGACGTCTGCATCTTGTTTTTCATCAGATGTTGCACTGAATTTACAATATTTTCAAAATGGTGCTAAAGATTGAAAATCTATTCAGGAAACTTCTAGTAATAAAAAAAATAATATCCTTATTTTCCACTTTACATTACAATATTTTATTTCTTTGACGTGATCTGGTCACAACAATTTAATGTTAGCTATTCGGCTACAGTACAGCGACCAGCAAACAGTCACTGCGCACGCACGCGCGCGCACACAAAACGTAAATAAGTACGACGACCACTTTGAAACCGAAATTGTCATGTAACGAATGTCGCTGATTGGCTCCGGTGTGAGATTACGATTTTGGTTTCAAAAGACCCTGGAAAGCGTTCTATGTTCTTCGTGTAATTGCTGTTAGTTGTTCGTATGCAAGGTGTTTTTCTGCAAAAAAAAACGACGAAATCGGCCGAATTGTGTTAGCGGTTGGCATAAACAGAGCGTTTGGGTGTGAAAGTTTGATAATTTTTTCCCGATTTGTAGAAATCTTGAAAAACGCGTTTTTTCAACTTCTCTCTTTATTAACTGGCCTTCAATGAAAATAAATCCATCTAACTCGGGACAAATTAAATAGTGCTGCATAATGTCACATTATGAAGTAAATTCCTCGCTGCCAAACCACTGTATAATATCATGCTACATAGTTATCTACTATATGTATCTACAGAGCGGCCATTTTAGAACATTCCAACATTGTAAAGTATTCTAAAACACATTTTTCATCATTATTTGATGCCTTTTTTTCGAAAAGTTCGGTGACCCTATATTTTTAGTCCCCGTAAAACGGGGACTTATAATTCGGTCTCCGTCCGTCCGTGCGTCCATGTGTCCGTCCGTCCGTCCGTCCGTCCGGAGTCATATCTCAGAATCCCTTGGACCGATTCCGTTCATTCTTTGCATGTGCCTAGTACTTTATGTGGGACATATGCACATGCAGTGGTTTAGTGATTCGATTCAAAATGGCCGACTATACATGTTAGGATACATGTCCATGATGATTTATTTAGTCCCCGTTCGGACGTAGTCCGAAAACGGGGACTTATGTTTTGCCCTGTGTGCGTCCGTGCGTGCGTCCGTGATCACCTGTATCTCGAACATGCATGGACCTATTAAGTTCAAACTTCACTCATACATCACACATTATATGGGACATATGCACATGCATTTGTTTCATGATCTCATTAACGATAGCCAAATGGCGGCCGCTTTAAGGCCGAAAATGCATTGAAATCGCACATTTTCACCATTCC